ATTTTTCGTCAATAGTAAAACAAAATAAACATGTTAAAATTGATATATCATTTAATAAAAATTTATTAAAAAATGCTAATATAATTTATTTTTAGATATTTTCTGTTTCTTTTTTTATATAAATTATAATACATATTTCTTTTTTCTTTTCTTTTTTTTTTTTAACATTTTATATGTAATAACTTTATTGTGTCCATTAAATAATGAATAGTATAAAATAGTATTACTGTTTTTGGATTTATATCTTTATTTAACCTATCATTTTGAAATGAACGAAAAGAAATGTGCGAGTGTTGAAGTTGAAAAAAATTTAGAGAAAAGAAAATGAATATATTGCTTAATCAAAGAAATTAGTACAAGTAATAATGTTACTTTTTTATAATACCATATAACGTTGATATTATGTATTTTTTTATTTACATTATTTCATTTTAGGAAATTTACATTATCTGACAATTCATATTCGAAAATTGATTTGTTTATTGAATATAAATTATTCTTTATATTATATAAACCTCGTATTATATAATGATTTTTTCTTTTTTAGATATGAAACCAATTGAACTATAAAGAATTCAAATAAAATCCTTTGTGAATATTAAAAATAATACTATTACGAATTATAATAATATTATTATACTTGTATAAGTTATACTGTACAATTATCAAATTATTTATTTCAAAATATAATTATTAACTTATATAATTTCTTTTTTAGTAAATAATAAACATTTGATTATATAGGATTTAAACAGCAGTCTGTGTAGATATTGAAAATGAAACTATTATGAATTATTATAATAAAATAATACTATCATAATTTATTAGTAATACTATCATAATTTAGATATGATTATCAAATCATTTATTTTATCGATTTTTTTATCACCGGACACGAAAGGAAATTGGATTATAGAGCATTATAAAAAAATTTTATCTAGACATACATAATTAAACTCTATTACGAATTATTATAGTAAAGTTATATTAAAATAAATAATACTCTAATTATAAATACATCACTTTTTTAGATACCAAAATATAATTGAATTATAGTGAGTATAAACAAATTCTATTTTCGCATATAAAGAATGGAACAATAACATTTATTGTAATATACTTATACTTGTACAAGTTATACTAAATATTAGTGAAATTATTTGTATAATTATATTATTATTTTAAGATATAAAAAGAAATTAGTTTAGAGAGGATTGTTAAGAAATAAGAAAAATGAATTATAAGAGAATTAATAAGAATGAATGGTAGAAAGAGGAGGAAATAAAAATATGCATTTTGTCGAAGAAATAATGATACGAATCTGCAATTTTCTTGTTTGATTTCACTTGATTCGATCATAGCTTCATTGATCTAATCGATCTAGTCTGATTAGAGCTTTTTTTTAATCAATTTTTAAATTCGATTTACTCTTTTCTCCATTTTTGTAGAGACTGTCGATCGTAATTCTATTTTATATAACAATCAGAATTATATCATTTAGCGTTTATCTAAGATTAGAGAGAGAGAAAGAGAGAAAGAGAGAGAGAGAGAGAGAGAGAGAGAGAGAGAGAGAGAGAGAGAGAAAGAAAGAGAGGGAGAGACAAAGAGAGAGAAAGACAGAGAGAGAGAAAGAAAGAGAGGGAGAGACAAAGAGAGAGAAAGACAGAGAGAGAGAAAGAAAGAGAGGGAGAGACAAAGAGTGACAAAGAGAGAGAAAGAGAGAGAGAGAGAGAGAGAGAGAGAGAGGAAGTAATAAAGGAATCAGAAAAATATAACAATATTTCAAGATAACGATAACAAGGTTGAAAAGAATCCTGGTTATTATTACTCTGATAACGAATCGATTCTAAGATTTATTTTTTACTGATCTTATGGCGCATATATCTTATTAAAAATATAATTCTCATGTTACTAGGGCATTTCAATTCTATCTTTTTGTACTTCATGCTATTTTAATATATTATTTCTATTATTAAATTAAATATAATATAAAGAACGTGCCTGTTACGCTATTTGAGCAATTCACAGGCGAAAATGATTAATTCGAATTTTAGAATTCCTTTTTCTTTTTTTTTCAATTTTCTGTATGATCAAAATTTTTATGATCGTTGAATAATAAATAACGCGAATTGTTGGCAATAATTTAATTAATTTTTTTGGCTTTTTGTTTTATGGAATTAGTCAATTTGACAAATAAACGGATCATTTAAGAAAAATACTGGAAACTAGAGAAGCGAAGGATCGTCTGATCGGTAAGAAAGAATGAGGAATAGGGAATGACGAATGAAAAGGAGGAATCGGCAAAGAGGAATTTTGTCCAACGTTATTTTGGAAAATGTACTTTTTTTAACAATCGAACGGAATTAGGCCTATTTAAATTTTTCATGTTTTTGTTTAAATTAAACATTGAATATTAAGTCTGTTCTAAACAAAGATTTTTCATCTGGAATTTCGAATAAATCATTTTTGAAATTTAATGTGTCATGGTAATTTATATTAAATATCAATAAGGATATAATTAATATTTATGTTATCATAAATTTTCGGTATACTTTAAAATTACTTTTGGAAATCATTAAAGTGTTAATTATGTTGAATTAAATTTTTTTTTCATACTAATATTTATATACTATTTAATTTATTAAGAAATGTATACGATTCCGTCCATACGTAATTGTATGTTTTAATGATTAATATAATTCTGAGTAAAAATATATATATGAAACTTAAAAGTATATAAACGAAATATATTTTGTCGTCGATTCTAAGGGAAGATATGAAAGGATTCGCTAAGAAATATAATAGAAAAAGAAAAGAAAAATAATAAAAGGAGAACAGAAACGACGTTTAGTGAAAGAAAAATGAAAAAGAAAAAAGAAAAAATATGTTAAAAGATGAAAGAAAAATATTAATAAATAAAAAAATACACATACTGTATGACAGCCGAGAAGGTTTTTGTATCTCTAAATGACATCTTGTTGTTTAATTATTTATCCAGTATTATCGTTTGATATTTCATTCAACGGTTATAAGCACTTAACGTAATATCACACTGGGATGAATAATAACAGGTAGATCAAACAAGTATTTCTTTTAATTTATAATAAATTTTCCAAACTATAAATCATTGTCTATCCGCCCTTTTCGTTCCGTTACATAAAATGATATTTTAGCATTTATTCGCTAGGCTTTATTATTCCCTCTCCCTCTTTTTCAGTTGCATTCTTTCTCTCTATCTCTCTCTTTCTCTCTCTCTCTCTCTCTCTCTCTCTCCCTCTCTCTCTTTCTCTCTCCTTGTTACATCATTCTCCTTATCTCTTTTCTTCCTACTGGTTTTCCCTTATTCTCTCGAACATCTACACTTTTGTAATTATTCTACTTGTTATCTACAAGCACGTTCGTTTGTTATTTTTTTTGTAATAAAAATAATAATACAATGAAATCGTATCGAATGATGTATTCATGATATTTATGTATATTAATTAATCAAATGAAATTATTATTTAATGTTGACATAATTGTATAAAAAATATTATATATAATTTTATTATTTGTGGAAATATCACATTGAAAATTGATTTATTCTATTATATACAAAATTGTATAAAATTATGTATTTATTCAATACATACTATAAATTCTACAAATCTATATACATAAATAATTCGATTCATATAAATATGCATATACGATATGTTACTCCTTTTTGTGAATCAATATCGAATTCTAAAATCACTAAATTTTTAACAATAGTCACATTCTACTAAAGCATAATAAGGTTGAAATCGAGAAAAGAAATTATAAAGTATTTTATTGATCAATGATGATTAAATAACTTGTCTTGTATAAATTAAAAACGGTTTAAAAAGTTTTTTGCGATTCATAATTGTCTTTCGTATTAGGGTGCTTAGTTTATCTCAAGGCAATGTTTGGTAATATATTCCTTGATTTCTCTCAATTTATTTTATAAATTTTTATTATGTACTATGTTTCATAACAAATATTAGTTTAGCCTATATAATTCTCGAGTAATAAATGTCATAAATGTCATAAAAACAGTGAAAAAGATAAAAGTTTCGAAATAATAAATTTCGACGGTACGATCGATTAATTTGATTGATAAATGGTTGACACTCTCTAAATTTTAAGTTTATTGTCATTCGAAGGATAGTTATGGAAATGCAATTTGTTACATATTAGAACATGTTAATGAATGTTTGAAAAAATTTATTTATTCAATTCATTTATTCATTATAATTTGTTTGATATTACAAAAATTAAAAATAAAGAATGTTACTTCTATGAATATCATATGGTTTAAAGACGGTGTGCATGATTTTATCTTGATATAAACTTAAAAATATGGTATTGATTAGTTGATAAAAGAAAGATCGAATTAATTTGTATATACAAATTAATTGTATAATATAGCTCTCTATAGGTACATACAATTTCGAACATTACTTAATACTTGCTGGATTAAAATAAACGAGTATAGGTATCAAACATTTTCCGCCAGATAGCTTCTTAATTGAATACAAAATAATTAAATGACTGGGATTTTAATAGAAATTTAAAAAAAAAATTCTAAAATAAATTTCATTTAGTTTCTTATTTTCATTATAACAATAACAATATACATTGTATAATTTTTCAAAGCGACCATAAATGGTAGAGAATAATATTGTTTTATTATAAATAATATTATATAATTCTTGTGGGCAAGAAAAAGAATATTAATTTTGCAAACAAGCACTTATAATACTTAAAGTGCTATGAAAGATCAGATTTTAGACTTACAAAATAAACATCATAATCGATTTAAAAATATTGTTTTTTTAATTTTGTTTTCTTTTTTGGAAAATGACTTATATATTAAAAATGTATATCTTGATCAAATTTTTTTTGTTTTTCATATAATATTAAAATTTCAGATAAAAGTCTGGGGAAAAAGTGAAATTGATTTGCACTATTAAAATCTTAAGCAAAAAATGATAATCTAGAATATATTAGCGTATTTATTCTGTTTTAACCAAAATTTGACTTATAACCCTTTGCATACCTTTGCATACAGAAATTTATTTGTCTAAGACGTATTATAGTTATTTTACAAAAAGATCAGATTTGCAATTTGTATAATCTTTTATACTACAATGTAATTTATGTATTACAAATTTTTTTAAATGCCTAACTATGCGGTTAATTCGCGTTGAATTTGTTCTAACGTTTTTCCTTTCGTTTCTGGGACAAAGAATAAAACAAAAACAACACTTAAAGCACAAATAAGGGAAAAAAACCAAAACGTACCATAGACATGAATAATATCATTTAAATTAACAAAAGTTTTAGTGACAACAAATGCCAGTATCCAATTCAATAAGCAAGCACTACTACCAGCGATACCTTTGGTTTCAGGCGTAAAAAATTCTGAGATCATCATCCACGGAAGAGGACCAAATCCAATTGCAAATGAAACTATATAAGAACCAACAGACAAGAAAGGTAACCAGGCTAGACCATCTGTACTTGATGTTTCCAGGAAATAGAAATAAATACCAAGTGCTAAGTTAGATAAGGACATAATAGTACTAGATATTATAAGTAATATCTTTCTACCTAGACGATCGACTGTTAATAAGCTTACAAATACCATAGATATTGAAATTAAAGATATTATAACAACAGCTCCCTTAGGTCCAATAAAGTTACCTGATGTCTCAAATATAAAACCAATGTATGCTACAATAGCGTTTACTCCACTCAATTGTTGAAATGCCATAAGTCCATACGATATTATTATGGCTTTTTTACAAGCTTTAGATTTCAATAAAGATAGAAAAGATACCTTGTTTTTATTAGCCTCTTCTATCATTTTTTTCTGCATATTTAATTCTTGTTCTACATCATATTGAGAACCTCTAAGTTTAATATAAATTTTTCTAGCAGCATCTTCATTTCTTTTAAGTAAATAATATACGGGACTTTCTGGCATGAAAGAAAATGCTATACCAAAGATTATTGGTACGAATCCAGATATAATGGATAATTGATAGATATTTACGTCAAATAAATCTAATACAGATGTCAGTAAAACACCCAGACTTTGAAATAAATGATAAAATGTACCTAATCTTCCACGAATTTCACTTTCACCAATTTCTGAGGTATACATAGGACCTGTTACACAAAATGCTCCGCCGCTAAAACCTGTTAAGAACCTTCCAACATAAAAAAAAGCGACAGACTTTGCAAAAATGATACAAAGCCAACCAATTGTAAAAGGAATTACAAGCATTAGCATAGAATATTTTCTGCCTACTATATCTGCAAAAGTACCAATAGGTACACACACTACTGCAGAACCAAGTGCTGCAAGTGATCCAATCCATGAATATTCTTCTGGGGTAACAACAATTTTATATATGGTTGCTATATTGACACCATCTGTACCGGCTTGTGAGGTCCATAATATTGACATTCCTGATGCTATTGCACCTATGGAGACTGCTAAACTTGCAATGTATTGTAGAAACCTTTTTGTTTTGATTTTTTGCTCATTTGGAGAGACAAGTGTTTCTTGAGAAAATCCAACAATTTTTTCAGCCATATTTCTTCGAGTATTTTTTCGTAATGATGCTTTTTCGTTTATCTAAAATTAAAGAAAATATTTTGTTACTAAATAGCAGCATGTATTAATAAGTTTTAAACATAAATTACAGAGGAGAAGAGAAAAATGAAGTATTTAAAATTTTGATTGCATGATATCGCCAAAACAAAAAAATATTAGTAGATTCTTTCCTCAAAAGCGAAATTATAATATAATAAATAATAAAATGAACAATTATGTTCGATCGTACGAGTAATTTTTCATTTGAATACTTATAAAATAATTTAATATTCTGTATTGTTACAATAAACCCACCTCGATTTTAACATCACGCTCCTACATTATTGTTAGGTATTATTCATACCGATTGGAGAATAATATCAATATTGAAAATAAAAAGAACGTATCATTTTTAATTGATAGATTAACATTTATTTATAACATCGTAAGATAAAATAATGGACCGATGACTTCTTATGGAAATAGAACTATTTTCTAAAAGACTAACAGTTAAATAACAATTTAAAGAATGTTGTTTTTAGTGTATTTTCCTAAACATGTACTCGGACATTTTTCGTCGATAGTAAAACAAAATAAACATGTTAAAATTGATATATCATTTAATAAAAATTTATTAAAAAATGCTAATATAATTTATTTTTAGATATTTTCTGTTTCTTTTTTTATATAAATTATAATACATATTTCTTTTTTCTTTTCTTTTTTTTTTTTTTTAACATTTTATATGTAATAACTTTATTGTGTCCATTAAATAATGAATAGTATAAAATAGTATTACTGTTTTTAGATTTATATCTTTATTTAACCTATCATTTTGAAATGAACGAAAAGAAATGTGCGAGTGTTGAAGTTGAAAAAAATGTAGAGAAAAGAAAATGAATATATTACTTAATCAAAGAAATTAGTACAAGTAATAATGTTACTTTTTTATAATACCATATAATGTTGATATTATGTATTTTTTTATTTACATTATTTCATTTTAGGAAATTAACATTATCTGACAATTCATATTCGAAAATTGATTTTTTTGTTGAATATAAATTATACTTTATATTATAGAAATCTCGAATTATATAATGATTTTTTCTTTTTTAGATATGAAACCAATTGAACTATAAAGAATTCAAATAAAGTCCTTTGTGAATATTAATAATAATACTATTACGAATTATAATAATATTATTATACTTGTATAAGTTATACTGTACAATTATCAAATTATTTATTTCAAAATATAATTATTAACTTATATAATTTCTTTTTTAATAAATAATAAACATTTGATTATATAGGATTTAAACAGCAGTCTGTGTAGATATTGAAAATGAAACTATTATGAATTATTATAATAAAGTAATACTATCATAATTTACAGATATAATTATTAAATCATTTATTTTATCGATTTTTTTATCACCGGACACGAAAGGAAATTGGATTATAGAGCATTATAAAAAAATTTTATCTTGACATACATAATTAAACTCTATTACGAATTATTATAGTAAAATTATATTAAAATAAATAATACTCTAATTATTAATACATCACTTTTTTAGATACCAAAATATAATTGAATTATAGTGAATATAAACAAATTCTATTTTCGCATATAAAGAATGGAACAATAACATTTATTGTAATATACTTATACTTGCACAAGTTATACTAAATATTAGTGAAATTATTTGTATAATTATATTATTATTTTAAGATATAAAAAGAAATTAGTTCAGAGAGGATTGTTAAGAAATAAGAAAAATGAATTATAAGAGAATTAATAAGAATGAATGGTAGAAAGAGGAGGAAATAAAAATATGCATTTTGTCGAAGAAATAATGATACGAATGTGCAATTTTCTTGTTTGATTTCACGCGATTCAATCATAGCTTCATTGATCTAATCGACCTAGTTTGATTGTAGTTTCTTTTTTATTCAATTGTTAAGGTAATTCCATTTACTCTTTTCTCCACTTTTGTAGAGACTATCGATCGTAATTCTATTTTATATAACAACATCAAAATTATATCATTTAGAGTTTATCTAAGATTAGAGAGAGAGAGAGAGAGAGAAAGAGAGAGAGAAAGAGAGAGAGAGAGTGAGAGAGAAAAAGTGAAGAAGGAATAAGAAAAATATAAACAACGAAATTTTGTAGATAACGATTACATTGTTGAAAAGAATCCTGGTTATTATTATTCTGATAACGAATCGATTCTAAGATTTATTTTTTACTGATCTTATGATGCATATATCTTATTAAAAATATAATTCTCATGTTATTAGGGCATTTTAATTCTATCTTTTTGTACTTCATGCTATTTTAATACATTATTTGTATTTTTACATTAAATATAATATAAAGAACGTGGCTGTTACACTATTTGTGCCATTCACAAGCTAAAACGAAGAATTCGAATTTTAGAATTCCTGAATTTTCTAAATGATTAAAATTTTTAAAAATTTGTTGAATAACAAATAATACAAATTGATGATAATAACTTTATTAATTTTCTTTTCTTTTTGTTTTGTAGTATTAATCGATTAGACCAATGAACGCATTCTTTAAGAAAAATATTGAAAAATACAAAGAAGCTTTAGGATCGTCTAATCAGTAAGCGAAAAATGCAAAATGAGGAATGAAAAAAAGGAATTGACAAAGGGAAAATTTTTCGAATGTTATATTGGAAAATTTTTTTCTGACAGTCGAACGGAATAATCACTATTTACATTTTTCTAAAATTAATTCTTTTTTGAACAAAAATTTTTCATCTTTTTAATAAATTTATAATAAATATTTTTTTTAATTTAGTATATAAGGGCAATTTATATTAAATATCAATAAGGATATAAATAATATTTCTATTACAATTAATTTATTAGTACAATTTAAAATTACTTTTGGAAATCTTTAAGATGTTATTTATATTAAATTACATTATTTTTTCATATTAATATTTATATACTATTTAATTTATTAAGAAATTTGTACAATCCCACGTAACTGTATGTTTTAATGATTAATATAATGTTGAGTACGAGTGTATATATAAAATATAAACTAAATAAATTCTATCGTCAATTCGAAAAAAAATATTTATGGATTTACTAAGAAAAAAGAGAGGAAAAATAGAAAGAGAAATAATAAAGGATGGATAGAAGCATTGTTCAAAGAAAGGAAATAGCAAAAAAAAAAAAAAAAGAAAAAATATATTAAAAGAAGAAAGAAAAATATCAATAATTAAGATAGATACATACTCTATGACAGCCGAGAATATTTTTGTATCTTTAAACGACATCTTGTTGAATGGTCCTATTCGTAGATTTATTATTTATCCAATATTGTCATTTAATATATTATTGAACGGACATTTATTATATCATTGAACGAGCATTTCAGATTATGAGCATTTAACGTAATATTACACTGATATAAATATAATTTATATATTTATATTATAAATATAATTTAACTGATAATAACAGATAGAACAAACAAGTATTTACTCTCACGTATCTAACTTCAAAATTTTTCAAACTACAAATCGTTGCCGATCCGTCCGTTTCATTCCCTTTCGGAAAATAACATTTTAAGATTTGGTTCACTGAGCTTTATTATCCTCTCTCACTTTTTCCACTCTCTTTATTTTTTTCTTTTTCGCTTTCTCTCCCTCTCTCTCTCTCTCCTTGTTACATCATTATCCTTATCTCTTATCTTCCTACTGGTTTTCCCATATTATCTCGAACATCTACACTTTTTTAATCATTTTACTTCTTATCTACAAGCACGTTTATTCGTTATTTTTTTTTTTGTAATAAAAATAATAATACAATGAAATCGTATCGAATGATGTATTCATGATATTTATGTATATTAATTAATCAAATGAAATTATTATTTAATGTTGACATAATTGTATATAAAATATTATATATAATTTTATTATTTGTGGAAATATCACATTGAAAATTGATTTATTCTATTATATATAAAATTGTATAAAATTATGTATTTATTCAATACATACTATAAATTCTACAAATCTATATACATAAATAATTCGATTCATATAAATATGCATATACGATATGTTACTCCTTTTTGTGAATCAATATCGAATTCTAAAATCACTAAATTTTTAACAATAGTCACATTCTACTAAAGCATAATAAGGTTGAAATCGAGAAAAGAAATTATAAAGTATTTTATTGATCAATAATGATTAAATAACGTGTCTTGTATAAATTAAAAACGGTTTAAAAAGTTTTTTGCGATTCATAATTGTCTTTCGTATTAGGGTGCTTGGTTTATCTCAAGGCAATGTTTGGTAATATATTCCTTGATTTCTCTCAATTTATTTTATAAATTTTTTATTATGTACTATATTTCATAACAAATATTAGTTTAGCCTATATAATTCTCGAGTAACTGTCATAAGTGTCTTTAAAAAAGTGGAAAAGGTAAAAGTTTCGAAATAATAAATCTTAACGGTTCGATCGATTAAGTAGAAATACATAAATACGTTAATTCAGTGTTTGTATCTGAAAATAAATCCAACTAACGAAATGATTGATATTTTTATCATAGTAAATAAATATATCAATACAAACTTTTATCGATATTATTGATAGACTTTGATGTTTCTTCTATAATGATACGGGTTAGAACCAATCACTTAAGAATAATCACTTACAGTGATATTTCTACATATATATTTTTAGAATATTCTTCTAATGTATAGAGAACGTTGCAAATTTTCATTTTCTCTCGTTTGTACCTCTGACTGGTAAATAAACCGTTTTCTAAGCTACGTTTAAATCAAGATGAATGAAATTCCTTTTGAAATTTACATTCGTCAACTATCAAATTGCGTTCTGTGAAGTACGTGTAAAGATCAAATTAGTTTAACAATGCTACTACAGTGAATTTAAACAAATTAATTATAGAGAATATTTATGATATAAATTTTTATTATATGTAAAAGGAAAGCAGTGTGTGTGTGTGTGTGTGTGTATACTTTTAGCGATCACCATTTTGTCTGACATAGAAAATATATATTTTGTTATCGATTTATTGATTAAAATCATTTTAATTATTCGATCATTGACGTACATTTTTTTTGTCGCATATTTGGTCCTTCACAGAGTATAATCAATGATATATGGATGCATGCATGCATATGTATTCATCCTTTTATTCCTCGTTGATTACTTAGTCAGATAATCTTATCATTTTCACTGTCTTTCTTTTACTTTCTCTTTTTTACTCTTTTTTACTCATTTTTAATGTATATTTCTTGCTTTATTCACAAATATTCATATATCGAGATGAAGGAATGTATGCAAATTTAATTATGAAGTCGATATGCAGTGTGTTTAATCTGAACTGTGAATATTCTAATTTCTTTATTCATTTTACTATTGCTTATAAGAATAATATTGTTTTGATGATTGATAAATTGTTGACACTCTCTAAATTTTAAGTTGATTGTCATTCAAAGGGTAGTTATGAAAATGCAATTTGTTACATGAAAGAACATATTAATGAATGTTTGAAAAAATTTATTTATTTAATTCATTTATTCATTATAATTTGTTTAATATTACAAAAAATAAAAACAAAGAATGTTACTGGTATGAATATTATATTATTTATTTAATATTAGAATAAACAGAGGAGAAAAGAATATTACTTCTATGAATATCATATGGTTTAAAGATGGTGTGCATAATTTTATCTTGATATAAACTTAAAAATATGGTATTGATTAGTTGATAAAAGAAAGATCGAATTAATTTGTATATACAAATTAATTGTATAATATAGCTCTCTATAGGTACATACAATTTCGAACATTATTTAATACTTGTTGGATTAAAATAAACGAGTATAGGTATCAAACATTTTCCGCCAGATAGCTTCTTAATTGAATACAAAATAATTAAATGACTGGGATTTTAATAGGAATTTTTAAAAAAGATTCTAAAATAAATTTCATTTAGTTTCTTATTTTCATTATAACAATAACAATATACATTGTATAATTTTTCAAAGCGACCATAAATGGTAGAGAATAATATTGTTTTATTATAAATAATATTATATAATTCTTGTGGGCGAGAAAAAGAATATTAATTTTGCAAACAAGCACTTATAATACTTAAAGTGCTATGAAAGATCAGATTTTAGACTTACAAAATAAACATCATAATCAATTTAAAGATATTGTTTTTTTAATTTTGTTTTCTTTTTTGGAAAATGACTTATATATTAAAAATGTATATTTTGATCAATTTTTTTTTGTTTTTCATATAATATTAGAATTTCAGATAAAAGTATGGGGAAAAAGTGAAATTGATTTGCACTATTAGAATTTAAAGCAAAAAATGATAATCTAGAATATATTAGCGTATTTATTCTGTTTTAACCAAAATTTGACTTATAACCCTTTGCATATCTTTGCATACAGAAATTTATTTGTCTAAGACGTATTATAGTTATTTTACAAAAAGATCAGATTTGCAATTTGTATAACCTTTTATATTACAATGTAATTTGTATATAACAAATTTTTTTAAATGCCTAACTATGCGCTTAATTCGCGTTGAATTTGTTCTAACGTTTTTCCTTTCGTTTCTGGGACAAAGAATAAAACGAAAACAACACCTAAAGCGCAAATAAGGGAAAATAACCAAAACGTACCATAGATATGAATAATATCATTTAAATTAACAAAAGTTTTAGTGACAATAAATGCCAGTATCCAATTCAATAAGCAAGCACTACTACCAGCGATACCTTTGGTTTCAGCCGTAAAAAATTCTGAGATCATCATCCACGGAAGAGGACCAAATCCAATTGCAAATGAAACGATGAAAGAACAAACAGATAAGAGTGGTAACCAGCCTAGACTACTTGTACTTGTTGTTTCTAAGAGATAGAAGTAAATACCAAGTGCTAAATTAGATAAAGCCATAAAAGTACTAGATATTATAAGCAATATTTTTCTACCTAGACGATCGACTGTTAATGTGCTAATAAATACCATAGTTATTCCAATTACTCCTATGACAATAGCAGCTTCTTTAGGTCCAACAAATCCTCCTGCTTTGTCAAATATAAAACCAACGTAAAATGAAACAGCATTTACTCCACTCAATTGTTGAAATCCCATAAGTCCATACGATATTAATATGGCTTTTTTGCAAGCTTTAGATTTCAATAAAGTTAGAAAAGATACCTTGTTTTTATTAGCCTCTTCTATCATTTTTTTCTGCATACTTAATTCTTGTTCTACATCATATTGAGAACCTCTAAGTTTAATATAAATTTTCCTAGCGGTATCTTCATTTCCTTTAATTAAATAGTATACAGGACTTTCTGGCATGAAAAAAAATGCTATACCAAAGATTATTGGTATAAACCCAGATATAATGGATAACTGGTACATATTTACGCCAATATTTAAGATGGATACTAGTAGAATACCTATAGTGAGAAATAACTGATAAAATGTACCTAATCTTCCACGAATTTCACTTTCACCTATTTCTGAGGTATACATAGGACCTGTTACACAAAATGCTCCGCCGCTAAAACCTGTTAAGAACCTTCCAACATAAAAAAAAGCGACAGACTTTGCAAAGATAATACAAAGCCAGCCAATTGTAAAAGGAATTACAAGCATTAGCATAGAATATTTTCTGCCTATTATATCTGCAAGAGTACCAATAGGTACACACACTACTGCAGATCCAAGTGCTGCGAGTGATCCAATCCATGAATATTCTTCTGAGGTAATGGTGATTTTATATATGGTTGCTATATTGACACCATCTGTACCAGCTTGAGAAGTCCATGATACTGACATTCCTGCTGCTATTGCACCTATGGAGGCTGCTAAACTTGCAATGTATTGTAGAAACCTTTTTGCTTTGATTGTTTGCTCAGTTTGAGAGACAAGGATTTCTTGAGAAAATCCAACAATTTTTTCTGCCATATTTCTTCGAATATCTTTTAGTAATGGTGCTTTTTCGTTTATCTAAAATTAAATGAAATATTTTGTTACTAAGTAGCAGCATGTATTAAAAAGTTTTAAATATAAATTACAGAGGAAAAGAGAAAAATGAAGTATTTAAAATTTCGATTGCATGATATCGCCAAAACAAAAAAATATTAGTAGATTCTTTCCTCAAAAGCGAAATTATAATATAATAAATAATAAAATGAACAATTATGTTCGATCGTACGAGTAATTTTTCATTTGAATACTTATAAAATAATTTAATATTCTGTATTGTTACAATAAACCCACCTCGATTTTAACATCACGCTCCTACATTATTGTTAGGTATTATTCATACCGATTGGAGAATAATATCAATATTGAAAATAAAAAGAACGTATCATTTTTAATTGATAGATTAACATTTATTTATAACATCGTAAGATAAAATAATGGACCGATGACTTCTTATGGAAATAGAACTATTTTCTAAAAGACTAACAGTTAAATAACAATTTAAAGAATGTTGTTTTTAGTGTATTTTCCTAAACATGTACTCGGACATTTTTCGTCGATAGTAAAACAAAATAAACATGTTAAAATTGATATATCATTTAATAAAAATTTATTAAAAAATGCTAATATAATTTATTTTTAGATATTTTCTGTTTCTTTTTTTATATAAATTATAATACATATTTCTTTTTTCTTTTCTTTTTTTTTTTTTTAACATTTTATATGTAATAACTTTATTGTGTCCATTAAATAATGAATAGTATAAAATAGTATTACTGTTTTTAGATTTATATCTTTATTTAACCTATCATTTTGAAATGAACGAAAAGAAATGTGCGAGTGTTGAAGTTGAAAAAAATGTAGAGAAAAGAAAATGAATATGTTACTTAATCAAAGAAATTAGTACAAGTAATAATGTTACTTTTTTATAATACCATATAATGTTGATATTATGTATTTTTTTATTTACATTATTTCATTTTAGGAAATTAACATTATCTGACAATTCATATTCGAAAATTGATTTTTTTGTTGAATATAAATTATACTTTATATTATAGAAATCTCGAATTATATAATGATTTTTTCTTTTTTAGATATGAAACCAATTGAACTATAAAGAATTCAAATAAAGTCCTTTGTGAATATTAATAATAATACTATTACGAATTATAATAATATTATTATACTTGTATAAGTTATACTGTACAATTATCAAATTATTTATTTCAAAATATAATTATTAACTTATATAATTTCTTTTTTAGTAAATAATAAACATTTGATTATATAGGATTTAAACAGCAGTCTGTGTAGATATTGAAAATGAAACTATTATGAATTATTATAATAAAGTAATACTATCATAATTTACAGATATAATTATTAAATCATTTATTTTATCGATTTTTTTATCACCGGACACGAAAGGAAATTGGATTATAGAGCATTATAAAAAAATTTTATCTTGACATACATAATTAAACTCTATTACGAATTATTATAGTAAAATTATATTAAAATAAATAATACTCTAATTATTAATACATCACTTTTTTAGATACCAAAATATAATTGAATTATAGTGAATATAAACAAATTCTATTTTCGCATATAAAGAATGGAACAATAACATTTATTGTAATATACTTATACTTGCACAAGTTATACTAAATATTAGTGAAATTATTTGTATAATTATATTATTATTTTAAGATATAAAAAGAAATTAGTTCAGAGAGGATTGTTAAGAAATAAGAAAAATGAATTATAAGAGAATTAATAAGAATGAATGGTAGAAAGAGGAGGAAATAAAAATATGCATTTTGTCGAAGAAATAATGATACGAATGTGCAATTTTCTTGTTTGATTTCACGCGATTCGATCATAGCTTCATTGATCTAATCGATCTAGTCTGATTAGAGTTTTTTTTTAATCAATTTTTAAATTCGATTTACTCTTTTCTCCATTTTTGCAGAGACTGTCGATCGTAATTCTATTTTATATAACAACATCAAAATTATATCATTTACAGTTTGTCTAAGATTAAAGTGAGAGAGAGAGAGAGAAAGAGGGAGAGAGAGAGAGAGGGAGAGTGAGAGAGAAGAGAGATACAGATAAATGGGTAGTTAGATAGAGAGAAAGAGAAAGATATGGAGAGAGACAGAGAAAGATAAAGAGAGAGAGAGAGAAAGAGAGAGAGAAAGAGAGAGAGTGGGAGAGAGAGAGAAAGTAATGAAGAATTAAGAAAAATGTAAACAACGATATTTTTAGATAACGATAACAAGGTTGAAAAGAATCCTGGTTATTATTACTCTGATAACGAATCGATTCTAAGATTTATTTTTTACTGATCTTATGGCGCATATATCTTATTAAAAATATAATTCTCATGTTACTAGGGCATTTCAATTCTATCTTTTTGTACTTCATGCTATTTTAATATATTATTTCTATTATTAAATTAAATATAATATAAAGAACGTGCCTGTTACGCTATTTGAGCAATTCACAGGCGAAAATGATTAATTCGAATTTTAGAATTCCTTTTTCTTTTTTTTTCAATTTTCTGTATGATCAAAATTTTTATGATCGTTGAATAATAAATAACGCGAATTGTTGGCAATAATTTAATTAATTTTTTTGGCTTTTTGTTTTGTGGAATTAATCAATTTGACAAATAAACGGATCATTTAAGAAAAATACTAGAAACTAGAGAAGCGAAGGATCGTCTGATCGGTAAGAAAGAATGAGGAATAGTGAATGACGAATGAAAAAGAGGAATCGGCAAAGAGGAATTTTGTCCAACGTTATTTTGGAAAATGTACTTTTTTTAACAATCGAACGGAATTAGGCCTATTTAAATTTTTCATGTTTTTGTTTAAATTAAACATTGAATATTAAGTCTGTTCTAAACAAAGATTTTTCATCTGGAATTTCGAATAAATCATTTTTGGAATTTAATGTGTCATGGTAATTTATATTAAATATCAATAAGGATATAATTAATATTTATGTTATCATAAATTTTCGGTATACTTTAAAATTATTTTTGGAAATCATTAAAGTGTTAATTATGTTGAATTAAATTTTTTTTTCATACTAATATTTATATACTATTTAATTTATTAAGAAATGTATACGATTCCGTCCATACGTAATTGTATGTTTTAATGATTAATATAATTCTGAGTAAAAATATATATATGAAACTTAAAAGTATATAAACGAAATATATTTTGTCGTCGATTCTAAGGGAAGATATGAAAGGATTCGCTAAGAAATATAATAGAAAAAGAAAAGAAAAATAATAAAAGGAGAACAGAAACGATGTTTAGTGAAAGAAAAATGAAAAAGAAAAAAGAAAAAATATGTTAAAAGATGAAAGAAAAATATTAATAAATAAAAAAATACACATACTGTATGACAGCCGAGAAGGTTTTTGTATCCCTAAATGGCATGTTGTTGAACGGTTACGTGCACTTAACGTAATATCACAACAAAATATTTAATAATAGGAAGAACTAACAAGTATTTACTTTAACTTATAATAAACTTTTCGAATTATAAATCGTTGCCAATCCTTCCGTTTCATTCCATTACGTAAGATGACATTTTGGGATTTAGTTCACTAACCTTTATTATTCTATCTCCCTCTTTTCCTCTCTGTGCGTGTCTCTTTCTCTCTCTTCCTGTTATACCAAAATCCTTATCTCTTTTCTTCTTACTGGTTTCCTCTTATCAACTCGTGTATTTATACCTTTTTAATCGTTCCACTTCTCTACGAGTTTCTTTGTTCATTTTTTTCTGTAAGAAAAATAATAATATAATTAAAATCGTATCGAATGATGTATACATGATATATACAAGTATTGATCGATCAAATGATACTATTATTTAATATTATATATAATTTTATTATTTGTCAAAATATTATATTGAAAATTGATTTATCCTATTATTTATAATATTATATATAATTGTATATTGAATCAATACATATTATAAGGTTAAATCTATATACATGATTAATTCAGTTTATGTACATACATATAAATATGTATATATAGGTAGATATATACATACATATTATCTATTAAATCAAATTATTATTGGATATGAAAAGAAATGATAAAAAATCTGTTCTATTTTTTTCAATTTTTATCGATACATTTGGCTGCCTCATTACAAAGATCTATCATTTTGACATTTCAAGGTCATATCGTTAAATAATGTTTTGCTTTATAAAGATTTCTGTACGTTTATTATACAATATATTGATACTTACTATTATATATCAACAGATGTTATCAAATAGATTACGATATGATAATATGGAACAGATATTCTGTTCAGAAATTAGTTTGATAAAAGCATATAGATGATAACCAAATCGATTAGTAATTAATCTTTACATCGAAATGGTACAAAGATAATTTTTATCCTTTTTTCATTTCTATTTTTTTCTTGACGCTTTTTGACTTTATTACAATATAATTAACTTATTTAATTATTATTTGTTATTAACCATTTATACGAATTATATCAAGAAATAATAAACTGTACATTTTTTCCCTCTTCATCAACAATTATAATCAATAATAAACGATAAAGACAATAGGATGAAATCAGTTTTGATCCAGACAATTTATCGTGATAATATCATCAATAAAAATGATATTTTCTAAAAAAAATTGAATTATTTTTATTTATTGTGATAATGATTATTGTTATCGACAACGGATGAATATAAAACATTAATCTTTTTCTTTTAGATATTACACCATAGTTTTTCTTTTATTCATATATTCCTGCGAATTATTTCGCAGAATACATTTCTATTGAAAATAACGTTTATTTTCATTTTATTTTTTTTTCCGTAAAGCAAAATGTTGTTACGGTATCAATGTTTATTATTTAAAAATCATTAAGGAGATTTAACGTGTTACAATCATAAAGAAATAAGAATAAAATCTTATGTAATTTTTATAACAAAATTATAATATATATTTATATATACATTTATATACATTATTATATTTAATCATTTTATATATATATATATATATATATATATATATATATATATATATCGTTTAATCATTATTATACATATGTAATATGTACATTTTTTACGAATAATCAAAAATATGGGCATTGAAAGAAGGAAAGAGAGAAAGTGATTAACAAAAATGAAAGGAAAGCATCGAAAATTGATTAATTATATTTTCCTATATCTACCAAAAAAAAAAGAGAAAAAATGAAGAAAAAGAAAGTATCTTTATTTATTTAATTTTTGTAAATTAAATTGCATTAATTTTTGGCTACTATATTTAATTCTCTATAATTCCATATAATTTTACAATCACGAATTTGTATTTATAATTTTTTATATTATAATTTTTTGCAAGGACATCAATTAATCTCTCTTTAAAAGAATTAATAAATGTACGTTTTACTTTTTAATTTCTAAACAATTAATTTTTTTTATCATAAAATTAATTCATAAAGAAATTAGTTTTTATTAGAAAGTTAAATATGAACGAATATAAACAATATGAAATATTCTTATAAAATTCACATTTAAATTCTATTGCATTTAGCAAACGACAAAATCCTTAGTATAATTATTTAAAGTAATATATACATTAAAGTAAAATATTTAGTATAATTTTCAATATGAGTTAACAACTGATACAATGGTGCAATAGCAACTTTGGAACGTGAGTTAGCAACTGATATAACATATTTCAATATGGTGCAATATGTTGCAATACGTTGCAACATGAGATAACAACCGATAGAATATACTACAATTACATTGTTTACAAATGAAAGGAAAATACACTTATGGGGGATGTTCCGCACTCTTCCTTCTCCATCTCTTCCTTATCGTCCTCTATCTACTCTTCATCTTACTCTTCTTATTGTTACTTTACGCTAAAGCGAGGAAAATGATTAATTTCTAAAAGATTATCGCAAAAGTTCTCATACAATGATTCTGCAAATTCGCGAGAATACCGTAGTAACAGCAGTATATATAAAATAATATATATTAACTTCCTTTTACAAGTTTATTAAAAATTGTTATATCATAAACATTTGTTCTACGATTGCGTTACAAGGAAATGTATTAATTGCACAACAGAAATGGTTCAAAAACGCTTATGTAGATGTAAATAAATAGATGAATGTGTGTTTATATAGAATAACTTTATGTATTTATTATCTATTTAATAGTCAATAAAATATATAAGATATTAAATATATATTAGAAACTAACGAGAAAGGTCATATTTGGGCAATAAAATTAAATGTCTAATGAATTTAAATGAAACATTTTTTCAAAATTTCCTAACTGTTGTTCATATTTTATCTTTCATTTCTTTCTTCTTCCTTTTTTCTTCTCCCTATCTCTTTTCTCTTTCGATTGTATATTCGTTTCTCTTTGTAATTATTTGATAAACTATTACCTTAGATTTTTAATAATATTCACATAGATTCAGCTCAATTCGTTCCTCAAAATATTTCTATCTGAAATAAATACATTTATTAACGAATATAGATTAAACATTTTCGATGATTCTTGCAAGTGAATGTTTCCTAGAATGTAACTACTGCTCGTAAATATTTGCAAGTATATAAATTTACAGTAATTGTTATTTATGAATATACATATACAAATACTTGCATACAGATTGCGTACGTAAGAGATTTAGAATTTTGGAAAAATCTATATGAATCATACCACACAATTATTGTTGATTATATAACTAATATTTCAATTGAGCTGTAGTTCTATGGACACTTTCTTGTTTATAGATTTTCTTTCATCGTCGGCGATTTCATGTTTTATCTATCGAATGTTTTTGTTATTGTACTTCTAAGGTCGTTCATGTCGTACTGTTCAAGGTAACAAAGCGTATTTACTACAACGATATATATACGATAACGAAGCGTAAGAAAACATTCTAAAAATAGAATTATTATTACGAATATAAATTCATATTTTTTTTTGTTATAACATTTATATCTTCTAAAATAAATAATAATATTTAACTTATACTAGTCGCGTTTACGAAAATGAATTATATAATTCGGATGAAAGTTGACATTCTTTTCATTGTAATTTATTTTTATCTAAATCATCACCAATATCAAAAGTAACGAAGTCAAATAATCTAATTTCGATAATCAAAAGAATGTAATTTAATTTCTATCGATTTATCAGAAAGATAAAAATGAACTAATTTATTAAATAAAACTAGTCGTTGAAAAAATAAATCATTTCTCCTTGGTACTGTTACATTTACGATACAGAACGTTTATTTATCGTAATTATTCAGAAAGGTAACATCTTGAAGATGTTGTGTGAGAAAATATTGAAATACATTGAATATATCGTTATTTTGATGAATTATTAATTGATTAAAGTTTATAAATAATCTTCAACAAATTCAACACAAAAACATTTTTAAAATTTCCACGAAAAATTTCATAGAATTATACGTAACTTTTCAGTAAATGGTGTCTACTATACAGATTCTTTGATCAATTCTTTGTTATATCTTGTTAAAGATGAAGATATTAACGATAAATATTAGGTTAATTATATGTATAGTTGCAACCATGACGTATAGCAAATACGAATTTATGGCCGTCTTTTCTATGACATTCATGAAGAATTTTTTGGTCGTAGATGAAAATATAATATATGTTCAAACAAATCTCAACAGATATTTAAAAGGATGTTTCTGTTACAGTGGTTCTCGGTAAACTGACTCGTTCTGTCTCGGTTCCTCGGCCGATCGCTAATCTTCGTAATTATTCAGGATCCTATAAGCAAAGCCGATCTCGAACATGCAAAAAAAGATCTTAGACGACGGCGAAATTTCCCCAAAACGTATATATATATATATATATATATACTTATATAAACAAATGTATTTAAACATATATACATGCATGTATTCTGTAAAATTTTCAATTACATAATTTTTATTATTCGCACCAATTATTACAAAGTTATATGTATATATGGCTGAATTTATCTACATATATAATGTGTGAACGTATAAGTACATAACATAAACAATATATATAGTACATATACATATGTATATTTCGAATATTATGTAAATAGGTAATATATATATATACATATATTATTATATTTCAGTATGTATACATGTGGATATATTTGTATCTATATTTATAATACATACACAGACCACAAATACAGATACACATACACATATGTAGATGAGCGTTCCCTATTGTTATTTAAAAGCCTTTTAAGAGAAATATAATTACAGGGCCTAGATAGCTACATTGGTATAAGCAAAGGCTGGAAATCATACACGGAAAGCGAAAGACCCAGGTTCGAATCCTGGCCCAGAATATCCGAAGGAAACAAAATATCTTCACGAATTTCTACATTCAAACGTCGAAAGAGTGTTTGAACAACAGTCCAAGCCACTTTCATAGAAATCTTTGTTCCTAAACAAAATTGTATGATTAATAATATTCTAATATATTTTCTCTCATTATTGTAAATATTCATCAGAGTCTATTCTTGTACATATCATTAGTGTTTAAAATATTGATGTAAGTATTTTAAGAACCAAATCAAAAAATCATAATACAAAGATTTTCTTCACACAAACCAAAAAATCATACGCCAAAGATTTTCTTCATGTTTCTGAGTTCAGGTAGGAAAAAAGTAATGCCTCTTTTCTGTATTATATTTATAATTTGCTGATTATATATAATATAGAAAAACATGACTTTCTCTTCCGAAACTTCTC